ATATTGCGTATTTAATTGCAAATTCTGATAAACAAACTATAAATATTTAGTCCAAAATTCAATATTCATTAAATTTACAACATATCTAATTAGCGCGCGACACAATTCTCTTACAAAGTGTTGAAAGTTTAAGATGTAAAAAACAAATAATACGTACTCGTTAAACTCATTAAATCTTCTTTAATCTTCTTAAAAGTAGAAACTGTTTTCAGTTTTCGTAATACAAGTGACTTGCTTTGTATTTTTACATAAAAGCATATTTTTCTTTTTATATAATTGTCATTTTGCATATAAAAGTTGTATTAAAATAAGATCATCGTAAAATAAATACTTTGCGAGATATTTCTTATCTTCAGTCGAAAGATATCAGAATACAATATCTCAGATATGAAACATTTCGTAAAGTGTTCACTTTTCGATGATCTTGCTTTAATACTTTAACGTGCAAATGACTAAAAAATTGACTTATGTAGGAAAAATTGTACGAATCCATTCTAACGTGCAAGCAATTTTGTGCTATCAAAACCAAAAATAATTAAATATTTTTTACAGTATGATGATGAGTACTATATTTTTCTCAACACTCTCGATATAAACACTGCCTAGATAATAGATTGTTAACGACCAATTTTCTTATCTATTGTTTAATATTCATATAATTTTGTCGATTATTATTTACTATTAAGTAAATATTTTATTGAAATGTTCGGTAATATGTTGCGAGAGAATAATTTACAGTTTACATCAAGAACGATGATAAGATTATTGTTGTAAAATAGAACGTGTATGTTTCGACACGTCAGGCGAGAAATCTTGTTTTTTTTGTTATGGGAAATATTATTTTTCACATACGCGTAAAGTTGTAAAAACATAAAGAGGATTTCACTGTGCAAAAAATAAAGTGATGCGATTCCAAATTGTGAAGGGAACTCTCCCCATGGCAGAATTATGTCACTGTTATTCGTGGCATTCGTAAGCCGACTGCATACACGTGAGTAAAATAAAAAGTTGGCGAAACAGCATGTTTAAAGCATGTGTCGGGCAGTTATATTCGTGAAACGCTTACTAACGAACCGTCAGTTTAAAATCTACAAAATTTCTAGACCGGTTGTACGGCCTGAAAATTTGCGACTTTAATTCCGTAAAACCACAAATAGGTCGCTATCGCAAACAAGAATCTTGTTAACAATTTGTCATTAAACTACGAAACTGGCCTCTATTCCTTGAAAATATACGTATACGTATACACATATGAATTATATGTTGATTAACGGCATTCGAAAATGGGTACGATATTCGTAGCGATTCCTTCATAACTTAAAAATAATTTTCCAATCGAGCTGCCGGGCGACTTAGAAGTGAACGCGAAAGACGTTTCATAAAACAAGATCTAAAATTTCTCGGTAAACGCAGCAGCTCGATAAGTGTAGATTGAGCGAACTCTCCCGAGTCAAACGAGTTTTCCATTCTAGACGGAGAAACGAAAAGGTTTTCGTTAAAATGCCGTCAGTCTTAATCCAATTTATTTCCTATCCTAAACTCTCCAAGAGTGTGCAACGGCTTCGATTCGCCGGAAACATCGGTTTTGAAAATTGATACAAGATTTAATACATTTCGTTTTCGATTAAAAGTTTGATCGGAGATTTTTATACGCTATTAGTTTAATATTGCATCTGCGTGTGTACGTTTTCTATGTAAGTGTTACCGACTTAAACCTTATTACAGGTGTTTAGAAATTATGCGTAAAAAGACTCACGTCTGTCGATGAAACGAAAAGTGCCGGAAAAGCCAGTGGCATTAGACGATGGACCCTCGGTATGAAACTCTAGAATCAGTGTCGATCCCGAGCTATAAAGGACTTGCGGGATGTCACGGAGTTCTCCGCAAAGCACACCGGACCAAGGAGTGTACTCGGAAACGCCTCTGTTTTCTAAGTGTAAAAATAGCTTCAAGAAATCTCCTCTGGAACAGCTAAAACAAAAAGTTAAAAAAGGTTAAATATACTATTATATGCAATAATGTGTAGCGATAAATGAAATGTAAGCCACGAAATGTCAGACACGGTTGAATTTTAATCGCTTACATATAAATTTATTTTGCCGCACCACGTCAAGCATATATAATTGAAGGTTTTGCGAAATATCCGCTACTAGACCGATACATCCGTTAATACGCTCAAGTTCTTCGCAGTTTGTAATATAATATGCACAGAGTAACTAATTGACTAATTACACTCGGTGTTGAAATGGAACAGGTGTTTGCAAGTCCTACTGCACACAGATTACCGCAGTTCACGTGCTTAGAGAAACGTCTGTGATCCTGTGACTTAAAGCGAATACAATGCCGAAATTAGCGCGGCTTATGGCAAAGCCGAGAAGTTCATACTAGCGGTTAGCGCTCGCAAAAACAATTTGCTGCTCGCATTAATTTGGGAATTTGGAGCAATCTCATACGCCAACCGGAGCTGCTTTCCCCGATGCGGTATTGGCTTATCGATCTATGATCTATGATTAATGTCAGAATTACTTCAATCCTTCAAGGTTTCACGTATCCGCGATGTGCGCAAAATTAAACCTGTTATTCGACGCGAAATCATGACATCCAGAAATTATTAACAGGTGAGCGACGAATGCGTTAATTACACTGCGTCGCAAGTTCGGTCGAAATTTACCGGGGTCTTAATGATCCCGTTACGCAACCTATTTATCACGGTCGCCAGGACAGCTTCTAATTAATCGGTCGCGCTCCCTGCGCGATATTCCATTTGTCGCGAATGAGCCACGGCGATATTCGCCCATCTGCGATAGAAGGTATTAATTTTACGCGATGGCGTACGTTTCTTCTCCGGTACCCCGGAGTACGAGTTTTTCCTACTCGAGTGTATTCCTCGGGGGCGCAATATGTAAAAAATTTTGCAAACGAATACTTTATCAGTACGCGATTCGTCATCGTTAGTGACGTGGAAGATGTCTCTGGCTAGGTCTGTGGTAACACCACTGCGAACAAACCGCAAGTGACCGTGTATCGACCGTGAGAAGCCGTCGCCATCCTGGATATTAATTTTGCATCTTAATTTCCCAAACGTATTTCCGTTGACACGTACAATCTTACAGTTCCCGCACGACACGCTGATGTTTACGGCAGTTAACATTTGACGTCGTTAACCGAAGCGGGATAGAGACGCGGTCCTTCGTACATGACGCGTCTACTGTATCAGTTAATGAGATAGGAATAGACGGGTTACGGATGCAATGGCGATATCGTACTTGGTCCTCGACGGGCCCCTAGTGGCTAAGCTCGCGGAAACCACTGGTCGAAAATCAGGCGAATAGCGAGAGTGAAATTACATATCCTTCTAACGAGTGTGTGCTGGAGTGATGGGCGCGTGCAGATTGAAGTGTGTGTGAAAATATCCAAGTAAACGATACTATATTAATCATGTATATTGTATTTACAATTGACATTCTTCACACAATAAATACTTTCTATCCAGTAAAATTGATCAATTTACACGAGTCGACTTCTCGAATAGCAGTTTTTAATTGAATCTCATATTTCAGATCATTTTAAATACAAGTAGTTAGGAAATGCAATATGGATTTACAATCGAAAATTAAAGTAGAGACTCTTCGCCTTTGTCATTCAATCGTAAATATAGCATCTTAAGACCGCATTTAAAACAATCTAAAATATAGATTGAATTATATATAAACGCCATTTCACATAAGTCAATTTGTATCGATTTGTTTTATCAAAGCATTCGATGTGGCGACCATTTAGATTGGAAACTGCGGCAAGACAACATTTTAATTGACCAATGTTAACGTTACGCAGCCTGAAATTCGGAAAAGAAGTAGCTCCGTAAATCATGATAGAGAATGGAACAACGACAAGAGCGATTTAGCAAGTAAAGCAGGAAAGAGAGTAAGACTGGAGAGGGCAGAGACAAGTTGGCGCACTAAAATCGAAAAGTGACATCAGAGGTTGGAAAGGCAGGACGTCTGAAGCTCAAATCAAGATTTACGCGAGAGTTTGCCCGAGGCTCGTACCGCACGCACTAGTATACATCATAATGCCACGTCGCTTCACACGTTTCCGAGGCAGAAACATCAACGCAGTTGTTTCGCAGTACCGAAAGATCCACTCGTCAAACGCGTAGCGGTAAGAAAAGCTGAAACCGCACGTAGAGCCGTGTGACCCAAGACGAAAAGGTTGCCACTGCCACTTGAACGTCTGCGTTGCTTTGCACCGTTTTGCGCCAGTTCTCGCGGCATGACTTTTCCGCACTGGTTGCACATCTCGGGCCGGCTGACTGCACTGGCTGCTGCAATTTATTACTCAGTTCGGGAAACGAGTTTCTCACTTTTCGCGCGATGCTCGACGATATTTTCTAAGGTTTAGGTGGGAGGATGCGATGGGAAATCATGAACGACCGACCGGTGGTCGATCTCTGGAACTCGACAGAAAAAATAAATCGAACCGCTGATGAATCTGTCAGACCCTTTGGCCACGTCGGACGGGTACGAGTTTTATGAGAAAAGCGGGTGACGTGAAATATGGCCGACTCCCTTCTTCCCCCTTTTTTTTATCATACGTCAAAAAGTCGAAACGCGGTGAAAATTTTATTACGATCGAAACCTAGTTGGTACACGATGTGATCGCATGCGTGATATTAATGGAGAATGCATCTCACATTAATATTAGAATATGCAACGAGCTTTGGGTTACCTTTTTCCTACTCCTTCATTCATACGTCAAAATGTCGAAATGCGGTAAAGCGAAAGAAACGCTTTTAGGATTAATGGTTGCATCACGGTTTTCACATAATTTCACCAGATGGATAGATACATCCTACATCAACTATTTTGTCAGTGTTCGCTGCTGCAAATATACACACATAAATCAACAAACGCGAAATAACACGCACACACACATAAAAGTTGTATAAGAAAACTTTGCAAACTATAACTTTTCTGTTATACGTAAACGTACTGTGTTATGACAAGCTATCGATTACTAAAAGAGTTTGAACGGAAACAAATTTCCAAAACAAGACTTGTAAAATATTGCAATGCACCGTGAATTATATAATTTATTAATATATATATATATATATATATATATATATATATATATATATATATATGTATT